CCCACCGTCATCCTCACGAAATCTTCATAGGCTTCCGACTGAATTAAACATTCGGGTGAGGGTGAGGAAGTGAGTATGTGATGTACGTACGTTTCTATATGTAACTCAGCGTCCTAAATAATGTGGAGAAGATCGGCAGATGGAAATACCCGTCCATCTGGGTGTTGGTGCTGGTATTCGGTTCAGAGTAGCTCAGGCTTAGGTGCAAGTGGGTGTTGGTGTAGGATTATCTGGTGCGCCCTATCGATCTAGGGTGGCCTACTCTCTAAAAAAAAGGGTTATTACGAAACTTAAAAGGGTATAAAGAAGTACAACCATTTCTAAACCCTTTTAGGTTTCGTAGAAGACAGTGTGCAGTACCAAACCGTTTTAAGAGGATTTAAACGATTGATCAGTGAGTGCATCTGCTTATTTCGTTATGTTTTTTCCTCATGATTTCTTGTCGAAAAATCAAAAATTAAAGAAGTTTCAGATATTGTTTTGGCTCAGTTTTCGCGGCCCTATATGATGAAAACACGCCTCAGCTACCACTAAATGTACTTATCCATCCAAATTGACATTTTTAACGATTTAATCTGCTAAAAACCATTTTTCACTAAAATAAGCTTTATAAGTCTTTCATCATTGAGCAGAAACTCCTCACAACTGAGTGTGAAACTGAATGAGAAAGAGAAATAAAATCTAGTGAACCAACTTCCAGTCTTGTGCGGATGGATTTTGTCCTACAATTTGGTATAAAATTGAATAAAATACGATCAAATCAAAATGGTAAAAGCTTTCAAAGAAAATTGTCTACAAACTTTCGTCTCACCCGTTACATATATAGCGTCGGCCTGCATAATCATGTTGAATCAATCCGATAGACGCAAATGTCGGTAGGTACAACCATTGACCTAGATAATTTCCATTTAAATCAAATGTCTGAATATATTTTCCATTACCTAAAAACATTAAACTATGATGTACTGAAAAGGTTATTTCCTAAGCTCGGCTTAAGGGTGTTTCCTTCTTTTCATTTTGTTGTCACTGGTGAAAGAAAAGATTTGATTGAGTACAAATTTTTACCACAGATATTTTCGAACTTTATCTCAAATTCTAAATTTGTTATAAAAAGTCGGTTTTTGATTTTTACAAACTATCTCACGATGAAAGTTGAAACTGAAAAGGCTTTACCCAAGAATTTAGAACCTGAATCAAGGTCTGAATTATCTGTGGTAAATTTTGGGGCCGATCAAACCAATTTACCTATGAGTCGTCACGTAAACAAACGGTCATGTGAACAACGGGGTCACTGTTCTGAGCATTGCAAGTAGCATTGATCGGATCATTTCTTCTACGACATTGGCAGTGATCCTCATATCACCCCAAAAACCATCAGAAAATTTAGATGTTTCAACGTATAGAGAAGTCAAAAAATCTAACATACGAAAACCACTTAATGAAAAAGCGAATTTTCTTCTCTTTTTTTAAGAAAAAAGACGGTGGCTTTGTGATTGTAAGAAGAGAATCACGTTTTATAGTCAGTTTTTATTTTTCTCCTAAAGAGTAGCTGATACATCTTAATTACCTAGATAAAGTGTTGAATTCCATTTTGCGAATGCGACATAATATCCTTGACTTTGACTATCTGCAGTCGAAAACAGTGTTCCATTTGGCTGATGAATGCTCATTGGATAAGCGTTCATTCGATAAGTAACATAGATAAAACTCGTATCGTAATAAACAAAATACGGTTGATAATTGTATGATGGTGGCAGTGTCGCAACGTTTAATTGTAAATTAAGTATAGAATTAGCAAAATCTACTTGAAGAATTTGAAATTCTGGTAGTTGATATGGCCCAACGATAATCGAATTTGATGAAACCCAACTGATACTTGTCAAACCTAGTACCGGCTTTGAATAATTGAACAATGATACTAGATTACCATCATAATTATAGAAGCGGATATGTGGAGTACTTGAACTTGTGAAAAAACCTTGAGCAGTCATCAAAACGGTTTTATCAGAATAAGGTAGAGATTTTGAATTACTAACATTTAGTAATTTTTGAAAGGCATATTGGACAGTGTAAGGATTCGTTAAGCGTTTTGGTGTACACATATAATCTGGTTCAAGCTGATTAGATGGACAATATTTTAGGATCATCACAGAAGAGAAAGGTGTGGCCGGTATTGTTGAACCAGTAGCAAATAAGGCTTCAAATAATCGACATGACTGACTTATTTGATCATAATCACAGGTACGACATAGATCATGTTGATTACATTCGCTAACACATCTCATTACGGACTTTGTGTAAACAGCTGTGATAAAATGTTCATTCATTGCAGGTTGAAACTGAACATATTTGACCACTCGTACATGGCCAATGTAATATTGAGAAAAAGTTGCTCCAAAACACAAGGATAATAATATATTGGCAATACTTTTCATCTTTTAATCGTATATCAAGCTTGGTAAAAATGATTCTAGCCGGCAAAAATTGAAAAATTGAGCTGTCATTTCAAGCATTTTCAAACTTGACAGACGTTTTACTTCAAGCTTTTTTTTACCAAACAGAATATCCAATATGCACTTATCCTACAAGACCTTTTTATTTAAACGTTAGAAACCATACGTGAAATTATATTTTTTCTGCTCACGTAACTAACTAACTATTTTTAAGTGAAAAAAACGCGTCGACAGAGAATATAACAGATAATAATAAAAATGCATCATTATATTTTTTACTTTAATTTAAAATCTTTGTAACACGTTTTAAATCGTAGAATAGAATTTTCTATCTATAAAATTGCATGTCAAAAAAAGAACTGCAAACCATGTGATACAATGGACAATCACGTAGACATTTAGAAAAATTCCAAAAGTAAGATTCACACACAGCCTTCGGACATGCTCTGTTTAACGGTATAAAAATAACTCTATTTTCAAATCTCATGATTCATCGAAAAGTACTTAACCAAAAACTAGACTGAGAAACCGATGTTTTAGGAGAAAAATACTTTTTGTTGAATAAATTAATCCTAGATTTAAAAGCCGTACAGATTCTGAATCTGGAGACACTTGGACTATGCTATGGTATAACTCTTTCTTAGTTCAGACTTATAAGTAGCGAGTAAAAACGTATATATTCAGATGAGCAATGTTTCCGAACTACTATGATTACTGAAGATGTATGATGATGTAAAACTTCAAAGTATAGAAATCGAATTGCCCGTATAAAAAAATGGTTATCACAAAACCACAGGGGCGATTATTTGACAGAATCGGCCCCTGCTCCACTTCCCTCAACACATACATGGTTAGATGCAGAATGAACAGGAGAACATTTCTAGCCATTCCACAGACCTTAGAGCTGCCCTCAAAAAAAATTAGGTCGAATTTACTGTAACCAAAGTTCTACTCTTTTTTGTTCAACGATGAGTATCCCCTGCTCCACATTACGATCATACATCTATCATTCGATAGAGAATGTCTCGCGCTACAAGTTCATATTACATCACAGTATTGAGAAAAGTGTCCTGGGACCCCCTCACATTAGAAATACTGTCCGTACAGCCGCGAAAAGCGGGCGGCTTATTTCACGGTGACGATCCCGTGCCCCACACGTGTCCACTAACCATAACGATACATATACCATTCGATAAAGCATTTCTGGCACTACCAGTTCACATACACAAAGTATTGAGAAAAGTGTCCTGGGACCCCGTCACATTAGAAATACTGTCTGTGAAGCCGTGAAAAGTGGGCGGCTTATATCACGGGCACGACCCTGTGCTCAACACTTATCCACTAACCACGACCATACATATACGATTCGACAGAGAATTTCTCGCGCTACAAGTTCATATATACAAAGTATCGAAATAACTGTCCTGGGAGCCCTTCACATGAGAAATACTGTCTGTAAAACCGTGAAAAGTGGGTGGCTTATTTCACGGTGACGACCGTGTGCCCCC